GGCGGGGGCGGCGGCAGCAGCGTGGGGCCGCCATGCCGAAGGCGAAGGGGAAGAATCGACGGCAGAAGTACTCCTACAACCTCAACCGCAAGCGGCTCTACCGCAGCGCCCGCCGCCGCGCCGCCCCGCGTATCGCCTGGTGAGGGCAGCGGAGGTGGGCCCACGGGGAGGAGGGGGGCGGCGCGGGTCCGTGCGTGGGCCGTGTGGGAGCGGGTGCCCCGGGGGACCTGCCACACGTCTCGGTGGGTGCTTGGGGGACGCTTGTCTGTCGGGAGGGTGAGCGCAGCCCGTGATGCCGGTGCCTGTCTCCACGCAGCTCTCATATCCGCCATGCCTGGGACCCGACCAAATCGGTGGCGCAGAACCTGGCCGAGATGGGCCTGGCCGAGGATCCCAACAAGGCCGTCCCCATCCCCAAGAAGAAGCTGCTGGTAAGTGCGGCCGTGTCTCCGCCGGGGAAGGGCAGGGGGCTCGGCTGGGGCTGCTCCTTTGCGGGCGGTGGAAGGTCAGGCCTCCCCCAGAATACGCAGCCGGGTTGGGGAAGGCAGCGTGGAGAGCAGCCTGCCTTGGAGCGCGGATCAGGTGGCTCTGGATCAGTCTCTGTAGGTGGATGGGTTTCTTATCTTTATTAATATGCTTTTCTTTCCAAGATCTTGGTGTGGGAATGAGCTATGGTGTCACAGGGAAATAATGGGCTTTGGGACAAATATAAATGATGTCAGTCAATCTCCTGGGACTTGCCAGAGAGAGGTGGGGTTGGGAACACTGCAGCAGAGTTGCTGCTAATAACAGAGAAAGCCTCTTTTGTGTACAGCAGCGCCAGCCTGCCCTGCCTGCATCGGCCTGCCTGCATCGGTGGGCAATGCTTCTAGGTGAAAGGTAGCCCCATGAAATGTCACACTCATAAGAAAAAAAAAAACCAGGAGTGACCTTGTTTGCCACTTGTCTCCATTCACACACTATTGCTTGGGCAACAGGCTTGCCCACGAGCTAGCTTAATGGTGCAAATAAGGCTCTGCTTAAGCCAGCTGAGATTTCCTGGTCCTTGCAGCCATTATGTAAACAGTTTGGAGTTTTGGGAGCAATGTATGGGCACACAGCTCTCTTCCAAATGGGCTTTTCTTGAGTTGCCTTCTCTCTCATTTAACACAGGGCATGGAAGTGGAAAGCAGTGGATGGGAGCAAGGAAAGAAGATAGTGCGAAAGCCCTATGTGGTGAACGGTCAGTGCCGCTTCTGTTGTCCCCAGGGAGCACTTCACCACCTCCAGCCTTGGCAGGTTTCCTGCTGAACCACACTGCTGCTGTTGCATTTGGGGTTCTCCCAAGGCTCTGTGGGTTATTTTGTGTCATCTTTGTGCTGCCAGGCTGTCGTTAGTTGCTGTGCTGTGCTGGGGCAGGGAAGGCTGTTAATTCTTGTCCAGGCTTGTGGAGGAGTACTCCCCTGGCAGCAGTCAGCTGGGGGTTCTCGGCCAGGCCGGAGCTGAGCCGGGAGCCAGGACCGCAGCTCTGCCGTTCCTGTGTGTTCTCTGTCTCATGAATTTCCTTTTCCCTCCTGTGCTGCCTTTTTTGCAGTATGTCTATCTGCAGCCCCGAGAGGGCTCTTGTCACTCTGAAACTGCTGGTGTGTGGCACCAGGGTGAGGAGACACTGCGGCTGCAGTACCTTGCATGTTTTAGTTGTGGGCTGGGCAGCTCTGAACAGTCATAATCTGCAGCCTGGGCAGAATGGCTCCACTCCTCATGGTGTGAGCTGGAAAGGAGCTGCAGCGCAGGCCTGGATGCCTGCAGCCTATGCGGAGGGCTGTTGTCTTGTTTGTTTTCCTGCACAATCATGCCTGGGAAGCAGCCCTGTGTGTGTGAGCAGCCAAGCTGTGCTGCAGGAGCTGTGCTCTTTACTGCAGTACTGGCAGGGCTTGACCTTGGGAAGAGACTGGGGACCGCTGAGGTGCTGCTTGCTTCCCTCCCCTGCTTCATGGTGTCTCTGTCCTCTGCCTAGAGATGGAATATGAGGCCAGTCTCCCTGAGAAGAAGTCAAACACGCTGTCACGAGACCTCATTGACTATGTGCGGTACATGATACAGAACCACGGGGAGAACTACAAGGTAACTACTGGCTGTCCCAGAGCGAGGAGCACCTGGAGCGATTCACTCCTGGATCTTCTGTAGGATGGGAATTGCTAATCCTCTCTGTCCTGGCTCCTGTTTCGCAGTCAGCTGATTGTTAAGGGAAAGCAGCACTTTGAACCTTGGCCAGATCCCTGTCTGACTCAGGCAGTGATCACGGCCAGCCTGGATAGGCCTTTGGAGTGTGGCTGGGCTGGTTTGGTATTTGCTCTTGGGGCCACTCCTCTGATTTAACCTCTCCTTTGCCACAGGAAATGGCTCGAGATGAGAAGAACTACTACCAGGATACTCCCAAGCAGATTAAGAGAAAGATCAATGTGTACAAGAATTTCTATCCTGAGGAGTACAAGGATTTCATTGCATCACTCAAGCAGGAAAAGATGGATGTGCAGTGACTGCCCTTTTTTCTCAGGTCTGCCTGCAAGTGCAGGCTTGACATGACCATTTTTTGAACCGGGCGGGGACTGACAGACAGGTGACAGTCACTCACGGGCTCAGTGCCTGCACGTTCAGCTATGCAAAGCCTCTGGCAATGGAGGAAGGACCTTCATTAGACAGAGGGAGTTATAAGCAGGCATGAAAGACTTTTGGCCATGGCTTGTGGCGTTGGGACTGGATGTGCTGTGCTGCTCGTTTCTGTGTGGCAGCCAGCACTTCTTTTGCCTTGTTAAAATAAATCACTCTTACAAGCTGGTGTGAATGTCTTGCTCACGAGCTCTCGCTTGGCGCAGTCCCATGTTGGAGAGATCCCGGTGTCAACCCATGGGACGTGGGCATTGGGTGCATGTTACCTTCTGCAGCAACGGGGCTGGGGGCCTGTGGGGTGCAGGCAGTGCTTGGGCCTTTGCTGATTTCCCTGTTGGCAGCAGAGGTTGGGGGTGGGGCCATGTGCTGCTTCCTTCCCCCACGAGTGACCTTCCTGCCTGCAGCTTGGGAGACCGGGCTGGGGGTCCCTTCCCTGCCAAGAAGCTGGAGGGCAGCACAGAGTGATCAGCCTCTTTTATTGACAAAAGGAAGGAGCGACTGTACAAAGGTTTTGCAGTGGAGACCAGCCAGCACGTACTCCCTTTCCCTGATGTGCTCCCCAGCTTCCATGATCGGTTTTCCAGGACCCAGTGCCCCGTGGCCTGACCCAGCAGCCCCCTGCCTGTAGGCAGGGCTTTCTGTGGTCCCCAAGCCTGGCTCCTTCCGCTTCTCCCTGGGACAGCTGAGAGGGAGGGAGACCAGATGGGGGGGCAAATGCCTGGTGAGCACAGGTCCTACCAAACAGCCCATCTTTATCCCTGTTCAGGGTGGAGAGGCAGTGCAGGGCTGCCCAGTACCTGCTTTTATCTCTCTTAAACAGGGCTTTAAATACAGAGTTGGGGAACTTGAGAGCTGCGCTCAGCCCCAGTGAGGGACAGCCTGAGCTCGTTATTCCTACTGGTGTGTGTCGTATGGGCAGGGCTGTGGTGCAGGGCTGCGCCAGCAGTAACTCCTTGTGTTTTTCAGGAAGGAGAGCCCATCTCCTGGGATGACTTGTCCATGCAGGTGGGTAAGAGGGCTACCTCACTTGTTTGGCTGCATTCATTTAATATCCTGCAGGGCTGCCATGAAGGTGTGAGGCCCTGCCCTGTGCTGCATGTTTCCGCTCACCAGGAGGTAAGAGCTGTGCTTGTGCCTCCATCCCAAGGGAGATTTCATCCCTGAACTGGGGGAGGTGGCTGCTCTCTCCACACGGCAGGGAGGAGAGCCTGCTGCTTGTGTTCCCTGAGGGCAGCTGTGCCACAGCTCAACCCCAAACATTGTGGGGTGCAGCAAACACCCCAGGACTGTCAGCCTGCTACCAGCGAGTCAGCTCCAGCAGCACCCACCCAGCTGCCTTCATCTTCATGCCACAGACCTCAAAGAAGAACTGCGCCGGGGGTGGGAGCCTGTCCGCTCCCCCCACGGGCTCAGGGCTGGGAGAGCAGGGTGACCAGCAGGTTCTTCACATGGAGGACACTGGTGGCGGTGCTCAGGCTGGCCCAGGTCGCGCTGGTGGGCAGGAGGAAGAGCTCCCGTTGCCTGCTGAGCATGTGCAGGGCCAGCTCCTCCCGCAGCTCTGCTGTGCTCAGGGCATCACTCTTGTCCTGCGAGGGAGAGAGGTGGCTGCTCAGGAAGGGAGCAGTGCCGGCAGCCACGCTGCTGGCTGGCAGGAGCCTTGCCCTGCCTGTGTGGTCCTGGCAGGGATGGTGCGCAGGCAGGGCTGCCTCGCTCTTGCATTGGAGTCGCTTTGGCGCAAGCTAACAGGAAGCAGCACCAGGCATGCGCTTGGTTGCCTGCCTGGGGAATGTATTTCCCCTTGGGGATTTTGCAGGCTGCTGCCTGGGTGCTCTCCCGAAACTCTTTAGCCAGGGCGCTGGTAACAGTAGCTGCGCCTCCTGATGAAGACTGGAGGAGACAGGCCCTGAGAAATCAGATTTTGCAAGAGTGGGTGGATTTTGGGTATCAGAATTTCTGCTCGGGGCCCTGGGGAGGGACAGTTTTGCTGCAAACAGTCCCAGAGGTAGCTGGGACAGACAGACACGTGGATGTACAACCCACCTGCTTGTTAGCCAGCACGACCAGAGGCAGCTGGGGCTCCGCGGCTAGCAGCGTGTGCAGCTCCTGGCGTGCTGTCAGCAAGCGTGACCTGTCCACTGAGTCCACCACAAACACCAGCACGTGGGCCTGGCTCAGGTAGTGGGGCCAGTACGCTCGCAGGTTCTGGCTGCCTCCCACTGCGGGAGATGGGCAGGATCAGGCACCGGCACGGGGGTGAGCAGGGCTGCCGCCTCACCGCAGCACCCCAGGGGACCGGACCTCCCGCCGCTCGGGATGCTCTGAAGCCCCAGCCCGGTGCCGGCAGGTGGGGGGTACCCTCTGAGCCATGCAGGCTCAGCCCTGGGGGACACATTGGGGCCAGGCCACCCTTACCCTCCAGCAGGTCCATCTCCAGCCCCTCGACAGAGAGCTGGGCAGAGTTGAAGCCGTGGGTGGGTGCGATGTGATCCCTGGCCGTCTGGCTACAGATGTAGTGCAGGACGCTGCTCTTCCCTGCCCCGTCCAGCCCCAGCACCAGCACCTGCCGCCAGTCCAGCTGTGGGGGCACAGGGGGGTGTGGGGTGGGTGGGGGCTGATCCCAGGACCCGCAGCCCCGTGCTTGGGCAGCTGGTTGAGGGATGAGCCCAGAGCAAGGGGTCCTGCCAGCCCCCCCCCCCCCCA